GTAACAGCACCCCCAGGCATAAAAGGATTAAACCGCCGTTTAGAAGATCTTCCCCTTCCAGAGATACAGGCACAGCTACTGGAGAACACCAAACTCCTGAACTGCATACAAGTGAATACTCCAAACTCCCGAACTGCATACAAGGGAATGCTCCAAACTCCCGAACTGCATACAAAGTAGCACTCCAAACTCCGGAACTGGAACCTCACGAATAGCTGCTAGCAGACGAACAGGAAAAGCACCCAAGCGGCTTACACTCCTGGCAATCAGTCTCTAACAGCATACAGTAAATCCCCCCAAAGACGAGACAGAGCTCTGTGTTGAGGGTCAAGCAGTGGTCTGTTTAATTAGGGCTACCTGCCCAGTATTTATGCAGGTCCCCCACCTGGTGGACACTCCCCTAGGGGACCAGATGGAAGACTGTGACAAAGACATTGTAGCAACCAATCACAGGGTACACACTTAGCCATCCCCCTTTCCTTACCCAGAACCCTCTGCTCTGCTCAGGGAGATAATTGTGAAGTAATTCAATTATCTCCCAGGACAGAGCCTAAACGCCATTTTAGATGAAAATAACAAAAGACATAAAAATACATAACTGGCACATTTTATAACATTTTACAGGCATTCAACATGTCCCCAGATAGCTAGGATCTGAGCGCACCAAAGTACCGAATAGCGCTCAGATCCTATGCACACAGTCCAATCGCCGTGGAGCCAAAGTGTTCACAAAGTCAGTTTCCATACGAATGAGCTCCACGGGATTCCTATCTGGGGTATGTTGTATTCAGGTACAAACTACCGAATATAGGGCCGTTCGTGCATGTCTACGGAACAAGAAGGGAGGTCGGCGGCTTCAGCGGTGTTCGCGCCAAAATGTATCCGTTTTCAGTTCCATGAGTTGGGCGTCGAAGACCGCTGTGCGTTCCAGCAATGGTAGACAGGGTGAGCGAGATACATTCTATGGAGTCGCTGACCGCGGCTCTCCATGACCGCTCGGAGGCCTGCACTAGAACCTGGACCTCTTGGCTGTTATACATAACCAACAAAGGGACACGCAATTAAAGACCCTCCATTCTACCCCTTCCCCACTCCCTCACCCTCCATATCTCCCTCCCCAACAATTACATTTCTTTTCTTTTTCTCTCTCTTTTTCCCTTCCTCTTCTCTCTCTCTTCCCTTTTCCCTCCCTCTCCTCTGTCCCCTTTCTTTCTCCACCCCCCCTCTTGCCTCTCCTTCCTCCCGCTCTCCCGGGGCTACTGGTGATACACCCTTAACTCCCGCCCACCCCAGGGCAGTCGAACACAGAGCCAGACGGCAACAGACACCAGCAACACAGGGATCTCGACCTCGCACGACCAAACCCCAACCTAGTCCCCACCTGACTTTACCACCCACAATCCACTACTTAGGCTAGAACCTAAAGGCAGTAAGACACGACGCACACTTTCATATTACCCTCGTGTACGTAACATGCAAGGGGCAACAGAGAGATTGACTCTCCCTCCTACCAGTGGCACTCTCTTGTTCAAGGCGCTAGGCAAGTACATGCAGGCTTGGATACTATAGTGTAACCTAAGTTAACGTTATGTGTTTCACCGATGACTCTACCCTTGTTCAGCATTCATGTCGGTAACCAATCTGCCTACCCTATATGTACTCTTTATTACTTGTAACCACTGTTCTAAAACCTTTCAATAAAAATGAGATTGTCAAAAAAAAATGCACTCACAAGCATAAATTTAAAGCAGGCAGAATATGAAAATATCGGTAGAACTTCTTTCTTCTCTACTTCCCAACGTCTGTGCTAGTTAGGAGAGAAGAAACAAAACACATTTTCTTATTTATGGACTTGGAGAATTGACTTTGCAAAGAGACTTTCGAGTGGATTAGAACAGACATGGAGATGGAATACATATACTTTCCACTGCAGAATAGAAAGACGTTTGCCACCTTGGATGTGCTGATTTGATAGACGTTTTGAAACCAGAAGGATTCACAATGAGGCATGACCCGCAAATGATGATTATCGACATCAGGTGGACCAGCCCCGTCCCAATTGGCTGTGAGGCAATTTGGGAGGAGCAAGCCAGGGTTTTTAAACCCAGAACTTGGTAGAATTGTCAGACACACGCTGAATACCCACGAGGAAGTCTATTTATAGATGAAACGCGTAGAGTGAAAGAACACCGTTTTTCCTGTGTTTTACTGATTGCCTTCACAACAGATTTTTGGGTCCTGGAGGTTGTATACAGAATTTCTCCTGAGAGTAAAGAAACTGTGATGTACTTTTTAATTATCTTGTGAGTGCATAAAATAAAGTGTTCTTTTTGGTGTTATACAGTGTTGCACTATGTGTTTTGGTTTTTCTCTCCTAACAAGCACAGAAGTTGGGAAGTAGAGAAGAAAGACGTTCTGCGTCCCCGTTTCTGACAGCCATCATTGTACACCTTCCCACGCCCCCGTTTCTGATAGCCATCATTGTACACCTTGCCATGTCCCTCTTTCTGACAGCCATCATTGTACACTTTCCCACGACCCCGTTTCTGACAGCCATCATTGTACACCTTCCCATGTCCCTGTTTCTGACAGCCATCATTGTACACCTTCCCATGTCCCTCTTTCTGACAGCCATCATTGTACACCTTCCCATGTCCCTGTTTCTGACAGCCATCATTGTACACCTTCCCATGTCCCTCTTTCTGACAGCCATCATTGTACACCTTCCCACGACCCAGTTTCTGACAGCCATCATTGTACACCTTCCCATGTACCTCTTTCTGACAGCCATCATTGTACACCTTCCCACTACCCCGTTTCTGACAGCCATCATTGTACACCTTCCCATGTTCCTCTTTCTGACAGCCATCATTGTACACCTTCCCACGACCCCGTTTCTGACAGCCATCAATGTACACCTTCTCATGTCCCTGTTTCTGACAGCCATCATTGTACACCTTCCCACATCACCGTTTCTGACAGCCATCATTGTACACCTTCCCACGTCCCGTTTCTGACAGCCATCATTGCACACCATCAGTTAGACTGTCAGTTAATCTAACACAATACTATTTTGCAACTGTCTCTTTAGGTTTTCAAAATAATGTACTCTTTCTGCCTGCAGCATTTTCTGTTAGACAGTTTTGAAAAGCAACTCTCTGCTCTCTCCATAATTATAAACATTTTTTTTTTTAAATCCGCAAATAAACGTATGGGGTCTCCCACAACTCCTATAATACCAGGAAAAGGATGACAATTGACCTCTCGTCTCTCTCCACCAGGAGGCAGTAATATATTAGAATAATCCAGGAGATGCTCTATTTCCTATGTCCTTTTATGATAAAAGTGGCCCCCTTAGAGGGCCCCCGAAAATGGTCAGGCTCTTGGATAAGTTTATAAAAAAAATAGCTCTCTTAAAGGGCCTAGAAGATGCCAAACCTCCTGGGCCCAAAGAGGTTAATCTCTTTATATGTATTTAAGTACATACCACAAGCCAAAAGGACCAAGGAGACGTTTAGATTGCCATTGTGGTTAGCTGCCCCCAAACCCCTAGCTGCCCTCTCAAAATTAGTCCCTATCTACCACTCACACTAATTCTAGTGAAGGAGGAGAAGAAATTCCCCTATTTAGGAGTGACAGTCAGTTTGTTGCCCAAAACCATCTGTCCCTCTTTTCTATCCTAATGTTCCTCTTTTTAAAGAGCTCCGTATTGTTGGTGTGTCTGAGTGTATAACAGAGCTCTAATAATACTCCCAGTAATGTGACTTTACACTACAATAAACGTGTTTAGAAATCAGTCTGTGTAAATAACATTGATTGTCATCTAAAATTCCTCAGACCGTCCTTGGAGTAATTATTTAAGCATTGTGATTGAGAGAGTTTACGTATGCATTTCTAGAGGCAATATTTCATATAGCATAGAATAGTATGTAGATGTATAATAGTACACTATAGTTATAATATTATACTTCTATTACATTGATAAGATTTTGCCTTAGAATGCAAATACAAATGTTCAAAAAATGAATTGAAATTTAAACCGACAGGTTCCACGGGATGGACCACACTGCATTGTAAGATACAGATCTAAAAATAGGAAAAAAAAATTAGATGTTCTAATAATTTTCTATATAACAAAGTGACAAACAGTTTTCCTGTTGGCACTGAATGCCAGGCACTCCCAAATAATCCAACACATCACTATAATATGGTAACCTGTGTCTAACCTTAAACTTATCCAGCCTGTAAGATCGTCTATTCTTCACTGAGATTCTAGTATGTTACAAAAAATATAATATAACACAGTTCACAACACATGTACAGACAATATCACAATACATTATAGATGTAATATTGTGGCGTAGAATCCAGATCTATTTGCATATTATTGCATATAGAAAAAATGTTACACAATATCAGAGGGGTTGCAGAATTAGCACTATACTTTATCTCAGCATCATTAATACACTATGTAATAGTGGTAATATTACACTAGACAACAGATGTAGTAATATATATATATATAAAGGACCACCAAAGTCAGTGTGTAACGGAACCACTGTACTCTGACCGAGTACCTCCGCCCAGTCCACTTCCTAGCCCCTGTCAGGGATCCTGGAACGTGTCAGCCCCAGTTTCAGAAGCTGACAGATGTTTCTTCTGAGCTCTTCCACGCTACTAGACTGCAGCTCTCTCCTTCCAAGCAGGTATCGATGCCTCTACCAATCACTCTGCAGGTATCCACACTTCTGCCTGTAATGTGATTAGCTCCTTCCTTTATAAACACACTTGTGGCTCTCGGGCCTAGCTCTTTTGACTCTGTCCCATGCTATATGGACCATGAAGCCAGCCAACAGGTCCAAAAAGACTCTGTTACTGGGATTCCTAAACAAATTAGACACAGGGCACAAAGTTCCAAAAGGAACTACCGGTAGCACACTCAGCTTTATTTTACTTCAAGAATAGCACATATGCGCATAACATTAAACTTGCTGTGACAAACTTAATAAAAATATAAATAACCAAATCATGTTGGAAACCACACTGTAACGTATAATAACATAATATAGTAAAGTGGTATGGAAGACAATAACTAACATAAAATATCTGTCCTGTCTGCTGAATTCCTAATATGCAAATCTACCTGAATATGCATATGAACAAGTCTTGCTATGCAGGTAGTGCATATAGCTGTTTCAAGATCCCTACATGCAACAGAGGATGTTGTAAAGGCTCCACAGTCAAATCCACCTAGTTGGTTGAGAGAATTTGCAAATCAGTAGAGCACACAAAACATTCAACACTAAACAACCACATTACATGCACCCTTCACCCACAATGGGCAAAGGGTGACTTAAACATAGAAGTCATCCAGGGACCTAATTGAAGTGTCCATCTTATGCTCGCAGTGATGGTGGCAATCACTAGAGATGCTTCCTCCTCCATAACTAAAAATATAGATGTGTTATTAAACATCAGCAACTATAGGTAATATTATATTACTTAATATAGATACCCTATTGCACTGTAGGTGTAACACTGTATTATTGAATATAAATATATGTTATTGCATAGTTACATAGCTGAAAAGAGACTTGCGTCCATCAAGCCTTCCTCACATATGTTGTTGCTGTTGATCCAAAGAAGGCAAAAAAAACTAGTCTGAAGCACTTCCAATTTTGCCACAAACTAGAAAAAAATTCCTTCTTGACCCCAAAATAGCAGTCAGATATCTCCTTGGATCAAGCAGCTATTACCCCACTAATTCGAAATTATATCCCTGTATGTTATGTTTTTGCAAGTATTTATCCAATTGCAGTTTAAACATCTGTAGTGAATCTGACAAAACCACCTCTTCAGGCAGAGAATTCCATATCCTTATTGCTCTTACTGTAAAAAAACCTTTTCTTTGCCTTAGATGAAATCTCCTTTCTTCCAGCCTAAATGTGTGACCTCTTGTCCTATGTATAGCCCTATGTATAGCCCTAGATTTCCAGATAAAAGTTTGTACTGGTCCTGCATATATTTGTATAAAGTTATCATATCCCCTCTCAGGCGCCATTTTTCCAAACTAAACAGATTTAATTTTTTTAACCTTTCTTCATAACTAAAATGCTCCATTCCTTTTATCAATTTTGTAGCTCGTCTCTGGACTTTTTCTAGTGCCATGATATCTTTCTTTAGAAGAGCCGCCCAAAATTGCACAGCATATTCAAGGTGTGGTCTTACCAGCGATTTATAAAGAGGCAAAATTGTATTTTCATCCCTAGAATTTATGCCCCTATTTATACATGACAAAACCTTACTGGCTTTAGCAACTGCAGATTGACATTGCATATTGCTGCCTAATTTGTTGTCTATAACAAATTCCCAAATCCTTCTCGTGTGTGGTTATCCCTAATTCACTACCATTTAGTGTGTAAGTTGCTTGTGCATTCTTAACCCCGAAGTGCATAACTTTGCATTTCTCTACGTTAAATTTAATCTGCCATTTTAGTGCCCAGTCCCCCAATCTATCCAAATCCCTCTGCAGCAAAGCAATATTCTGTTCACATTTTATTACTTTACAAAGTTTTGTGTCATCTGCAAACACTGATACATGGCTTTCAATGCCTATTTCAAGATCATTTATAAATATGTTAAATAGAAGTGGTCCCAAAACAGAACCCTCAGGGACACCACTTACCACTTTTGTCCAGCCTGAAAATGTACCATTAACTACAACTCGTTGTACTCTATCCTTAAGCCAATGTTCTACCCAAGAACAAGAATATTCATCTAGACCAATTTCTTTTAGTTTGAAGACTAACTTATTGTGAAGAACTGTATCAAATGCCTTGGCAAAATCCAAGTAGATCACATCCACTGCAACACCCTGATCTATACTTCTACTTACTTCTTCGTACAAAGCAATTAGGTTAGTTTGACATGACCAATGTTTCATAAAACCATGCTGATTATTGCTAATAACAAAGTTCTTCCTAATGAATTCCTGAATATTATCCCTTAATAGCCCTTCAAATATTTTCCCAGTTACAGAAGTTAAGCTCACAGGTCTATAATTTCCAGGCAAGGATTTTGAACCCTTTTTAAATATAGGAACAACATCAGCCTTCCTCCAATCCTCCGGTACAACACCTGAAACAAAAGAATCTTGAAAAATTAAATACAGAGGTTCACTTATTTCCCCACTTAGCTCCTTAAGTACTCGTGGGTGAATACCGTCAGGCCCCAGAGCTTTATTTACATAAATTTTCTTTAATAGCTGTAGCACCTTGTCTCAAGTTATCCAATCACAAGTTATTTGCAAGTTTTTTGCAGCAATCATTTGCATATCTCTTGCCATAGGATCCGCATTAATATATACTGAAGAGAAATAGTTATTTAAAATTTCTGGTCTTCATTAGCTAATAAACCCAACTCTGTTTCCCAACTCTGTTATCATATAGCAGTGGCTGCCAACCCAGTGCTCGGGACACACCAAGAGTCCAGGATTTAATAATTTCCTGTTCTGTTAAAAAAAAACCTGTTTGCTATTAATTAAATGCCAGCTCTGTCCTCCATTTTTGCATTTTTGTCCTCAACGTAACACATTGTGGCAGTTTTAGTACTATATCCCATTAGGGTCCCTGATACTTTAACTAGATAGACTTCTGTATTTATTATTTAATTTTCAATACCCATACACAGCCCAAGAGTGCCAGGAATCCAGTCTTTCCAAACCATGAACTCAGCTATTTTAGTTGTCTTACACCATGGCCATCAACTGTTGGATTACAATTCCTAGAATTCTTATCAACAAATGAACAGTGACAGTGCATTTTAGAACTAGTAGTCCAACATTAGATAAAAGTCCATGACTGAGTACCCTACACCAAGACTTGTGAGGTCCTTCTCTTGAAGCTGTTTTTCCTCCACTGATCTCAAAACAATGCATACAATACAGCACTGGGTAAACCCAGCCAATACTCCTACAAACATTATCTGGTCAACATGATGTATAGGTCTCGTGTTAAACTTCTGAAACATGTTGAACAGCTATATGTGGATGTGAATGATGAAAATCAAAGAGAAGAGGTGGACATCCCATTTATAGGTCATTCTGAGTTTAGGGCTCAGTCTAAGGTGACACCCTGCATTATGTGAAGGCAGGAAGGGAGCCAGGCGTGGTGTCCAGGTCATGTTTTGGAAGGAAGTCCATTGTAGTTCTTACCCACAGGTTGCATTGGGAGGAGAACACTGCTTGCAAAACATAACTCCAAAAATAGAACAAAACGAGATGCTGTAATTAGTCTTATGACAAAGATGGACATTTTTCCTGAATGCTAGGCACTCCCAAACAATGTGACCATGATGCTGAAAATACCTTGTGTCTTAAGATAGGGTGCTTTGATAAATGAATAGTATTAATCAGTATTATTAGTAACACAAGTCTCTAGCTCTAAAATATATTGATTTATGCACAAGATAATGCACTTTATCATAATTTTAGCATATCTGTATAAAAAATATTTTCTGAAAATGTAATAAAATGACTTAACCTTTTGATCTAAAGGTCGTTCGATACACTCTATTTGGTTTACAGCAGTATGCAGCATTCATATCCTACAGGTGAGAAATCAAGTAACTAATTAAAGACGTTTCTTTGGGATTTTGCCTTGATTTATTCATTGGTGTCCTTCCTGCAGCACATGAATGATACATACGGATGGTGGCCTTTTTCATTTGCTGCCCATCAGCATGTTGGATTGAAATACTTGTCCAGAAAATACTGTGCATCTGCCAACTCTAGATGGTCCATGTAGATCCTTTCTCAGAGATAGTATATAACAATCCCATCTCCCAGACCGTGGAAATGGTGTTCTGCCATCACTTCGCCTCGATTCACTGTATCGTGACAACTTCTGTTTTACTGTGTGTGTTATAATACACCTTTATGTGCCAGACTGTGAATTTTGTCTTTCGTTTATTGTACCCTACACATGATACTAATTCGCCATTGATAATGTAAATAGTAATAGTTTATCATTGATTAGCTGTCAGGAAGAAGGTGATATGACCTCATGACAACAGCTGAACAAATGTATTCTTGTATCAAATCCTGTTATACCACCTCACAGTCACAAACCTGTTATGACAACCTCCACGACTCGCCCTGTTTCAGCTGACGGCAGACTATGGCCATCAGTATCTGACTGAGCTTTCGTTTCCAATCTTGTCTGTAAATAGCAGTTGTAAGCTGTCACTATTAACAACAGCCGGTAGTTTGTGACGGCTACTAATTATCTACAGGTTTCCCAAACTGTTGGTAATTAATACCAGACTGCCGCTAACAATGTCTGCTTGCAAAGATACCAACCACTCACAGATTAGCCACTCACTGGTGAAGAACAGAAAGACACACTGGGTAATTTGTCAGATAGCAACAACAGCCAGGATGATTACTCTGAACACGCGTACTTCACCCTGTGGTTGGCCTTAGCAGGATATAGTGTATAGAATGTATTAATCTGTCTTTTTGAGCTATGCAGATACATATCTATTTATTTTTGAAAGTTTGGTTCTGCTGTGTGAATTGTTAATTTTAACAAAACATGCACTTTACTTTACTTGCTGAAAAGCTTTGTGTGTGAAGAGTGTGTACTATTTTTTGTATTTTGGAAAAAGTGCAGATTTCAAAAGAAAGTGACACTCATAATTGTTTTACCGGTTACACCTCCCTGGCCTTCCATCAGACAACTGGTCCTGTTACTTCCTGTTTTGGTTAGCTCAGTGGAGCTAAACTCAAGAGGCAGGTATTGCCCAGAGCACCTGCCTTGCAAAGACTCATTGAGCTGCATTGTGAAGTCCGTGATTGGACAGCCACAGAAAGTCTAGGCAGGGGATGAAGGGGAGGGATTAGAAAGGCAGCAGAAAAAAGAACTGCAGGATTTGTAAGCTGATTTTAGATATAAACCCAATAAAAAAAGTTATTATTAAATACATGTTTTCTTTGGGGTATATCTACTAAAGAGTGATTTTTAAATTTATTTTGTGTTTGGGCAGTTGTGTGTCCCTTTAAGTAAAAAATAATTGTATTTTATTTACGTCAAGTTTCTGGGAATTTTATTAAATTATACAACAGTATAGTGGTCTGAGTGACTATAGTGTTTCTTAAAATAGTAAAGAGCTGCAGGAAATGTTCGCACTATATCATACCTCTCAAC